AAAATAGTTGAGTTTCAATATAAGTATTTTACATCGAATGAAAAATAAAAAAGAAATTAATTTAACTTATTATTAATTCATTCAAATATTTATAATTACATATTTTGTCCCATCTGACCCACCTTATGTTTTGGGGTGTAAAACTTCTAGGAACATTTTGAGATCATTTGGTAGTTGAATAGAGTTATGCATGTATAGTAATAGTTATGCAGATTTTAGTTATACATGTATTATAGTTATGCAGGATTTAGTTATACACATATTTGTTAGGGAAAATGCATAAGTATCCCCTAGCCTATACCCAAAATCCCTGAGACACACCTAACCTTTACTAAGGTCCTATTACCCCCCGAACTTATTTTATGTATAATTTTCTACCCCTTTTCGGCCTATGTGGCACTATCTTGTGGGCCCAGTGCGTGTTGACAAATTTTTCAAGGATAGTGCCACGTAGACCGAAAAGGGGTAGAAAATTAATTAAAAAATAAGTTCGGGGGGTAATAGGACCTTAGTAAAGGTTAGGTGTGTCTCAGGGATTTTGGGGATAGGCTGGGAGGGTACTTATGCATTTCCCTATTTGTTATGCAAAGTTTAGCTATACATGTATTAGTTATGTATGCATAGGTATCAACTATGCCGAGTTTAGTTATGTAGAGATTATAATATATTAGTGAGCTAATTTTTATTTCTTAATTTCAAAAGTAATTAATAAGCTAATAGTTATTATAACCATTAAAATAACCAACTATATAAATAACACATTAAAATAAAATAAATATCAGTAGATAAAGAAAATATATTAACAGATAACTAAAAGTAATTAAGTAATTTATATTCAATATAATTAAGCAAGTAAGTAATATGTAATTTAAAATAAAATAAATAACAGATAACTAAAAAATTAAAACTTGTATCTTTAAGCAAAAAAATTGACACTTGTATTTTAACTAAAAATAAACAATTAACAAGAATTTAAGAAGATAAATTAAAAGTAATTAAGCAATCAACAAGATAAAAAAACTCAAAGAAAAAAAATTAGTAGTGCTTTTTTTAACATGTATTAATTATTTAATTTGTTGTAAATTAATATACATTTAAGAGTTAATTAACAGGGTGAATGTGTAATTTACCATTTTAATGCATGTATAACTAATACTTACATAATTTATTTGACCTTCTATCCCCGCATAAGTTATATATAGATTCCTTCATAAGTTATACAAGTATTAATTATGTAGAATTACAAATTAAAAACGCAATCAAACAACGTATAAAAATAATACATGAATAACTTTTATATAGTAATTGAAAACCTATCAACCGAAATTATAAAAAATTAATACATGAATAACTTTTATTCTATTTACAAATCAAACATAGTATAAAAATAATACATGAATAATCAAATTATTCATTTATTAGCTTTGACTTATCCAGTTACCAAACGACCCCTTGACTTTCAAGGAATAAGGACAATAATTTTAAGACAACATGGGAGATTATTATCTGGTTGTCAATTTTGTTTTCAATATACATATTTTCAAGATTAGTTATATATTATTTTAGTATTAATTCTATACTTTTATAAATTTTTCTAGGTATTAATTCTATATCACATTTCATCAATATATAGAATGACAACTTCAGAACAACTAATTTCTAGATAAATTAATTTTTTTTAATTAAATTTTTGTGGCTGGTAGCCATTTTATTTTTCAAAATCACTATATACAAATAAAATTCTCTCCATGTCTAAAATTAATAAGTTGATACGGTAAAGCCCGCTTTCCTAAAGCATATTTCTATAATGTCTATGTCTTGTCCGTGATCCTTCCGTCGCTTCACACAGTCCTCCCCGCCAGGGGCTTTTGGCTCCCCCGCTGACTGCCAGCTTTGATGCTTCTCCCCTTTGTATTTGACGATGCTGGTCTATCAATGCTTCTCCAATTTGATTTAGCAGCAAGTATCCCTATGCATGACGTTGAATGATCTTTTTGGTGCGAACTCTTAAGACTGGTATTTGTGCTTTTTCCATGTTTATGATCTTTCTCCCCATACTAGGCAATTGTTCAAATGACCTGAAGGTCTTCTTTTCAGTAGCGTTAATTGCTAAGTTAGCCAAGTAGTCTGCCATCTTGTTGTCTTCTCTGTATATGTGTTGTTACCTCAATCTTTGTCATTTCTCGTTTTAGCTCATCAAAATAATCTGCTAACTCCCATGGCACTTTTCATACTTCCTTAATAATTTTCACCATTAACAAAGAATCTAATTCGACTATTAGCTTCTCCACCTTCTTAGCAACACAATATTTTATTGCCTCTAGAATAGCTCTCAGCTCTGCTTCCACATTCGTCGTGATCCCTAAGTTCTCCGCTACAGCATATATTAAATCCCCATGACTGTTCCTCAGATAAAATCCATATGCACTGCTTCCAAGATTTCCTTGGCTTGCCCCATCTGTGTTGCATTTCGTCATTCCTTCTTCAGGTGCTTTCCATCTAACTATACAATAGTACAACCTTGGTTTGTAAGTACTTGCTCTCCTAAGCATCGCCTCCCAATTCTACCCTGCAACTTTACTCCACGGATACTTCTTTTTAATCATGAATTGAATGTTTTGGAGCACTTGATAGATCATGCCTTATATAGAAATATTTCCCCGTGCTTTCTTAAGTTCCTTCTTCTCCATAGGGTCCCTACAATCAGTGATGGTATCACCTTGTATATTTCCTTCACTTTACATGGAGCCTGAGTATACCACCAACTCTTCATAAAATGACGTAATTTTTTTCCTTCAACTGCTATACCTGCAAAATCAGCGAAATGCTTCCATAACTTAATTGCTACGGGAGCTGTTAGAAATAGATGTTCCATGGTCTCTTGATGATATTGCTCACAACACCAACATCTTGAGACCAATTTATTCACATTCTTTGCAAATTATCATATGTGGGGACTCTCCTTTTGCATACCCTCCATAGAAAGAAATTGATTTTGAAAGGAATTTGTTTGTTCCAAATGAATTTGAGAATCTCCATTTCTCCTGTTTCAATAGCTCCCAAGTCGAGTTAACAGTAAAACTCCCACTTGTATTTCCCATCGATCATGCCTTATCTCTTCCCGTTTCTACTAGAATAGGGATGATATTCTCAATGATGTATTGTACCATCTCCTCCAATACATTCTGTTAGTTTCACCTCATTCCAACCCCCTTCTTTTATGAACTCCTTCACTTCAATCTCTTCTTCACTGTGATTCTGTTCTTCCAAGTAATATAAGGCTCCTTGCTTTGTCCAATTGTCAAATCAAAAATTTGCTTCGCCATTTCTAATCTGGCACCATATATTATGTTCCACATCCTCTCTAATTTGAATCATCTTTCTCCAAACATGAGATATCCCCGACTCTTGAGATGATATAAATATCCTTTTTTTTTTAAAAACTCTCTTAGAAAGTTTTTAAGTAAGTGATTAGACATGTAATATGAAATCACGATTATAAATTAGTATCTGGACAGTGCTATTTGAAATTATGATTTTAAATTATTTTAAAAGTAGGATATGAAATTCAAATCGTGATTCCAATTTCTTTTTAAATGTAAAACACGGCTCATAAATTAATGTTTGTAAGAAAAAAAAACTCATCAAAAGAATACTAATGTTCCACATTAAGAGATTGTTCGTATGCGTATCATATGAAATGATTATATTAAATAATAACAAGTAAAGAGTGTTGGAATTGACATATTAAAGTTTGCTTATAAGTTGAAAACAACTTATGACTTTTATCTTATTTTTATAGTTTTGACCTAAAAAAAAGTTCTTAAATCACTTTTTATTTTTTGAAACACTACAAAAGGTAGAAAAAAAAGTTTTAAAGCCAAAATCATTTAAAATAACTCAATCAAAGCCTAATCAGAACTTGGGATGCCCAAAAAAGATATGAGGTGCTCGAAAATGGTCTAAATCTCTTGTTACTTCTATTGTTGATTAGTAAATCTTTATATAATTATGTTTATTTGAAAGTTTGTAATAAAAAAAGATATGTGATTTATCGATATGATTCCTTAAAATATTTCAATATCTTGTTTATGAATTATGGTTTATTCATTTGATAAGATTATATAAGAATTTATTTGTGAAATTCTTATGTTTATGAAAAAAAGTATAATTTAAAAAATATAAATGTATATCCAAACAAAACTTTAATTTCAAACGGATCTGATTTCAAATCATGATTTCATAGGACAAGAGTATATTACTACATTATATACTACTATTACATTTTTAACCCAGTATAATAAGCCGCAAGCATCTACAAAAAAATAAAAAATGAAAATTACTAAATAATTTAATTATTTTTTAATTTGCACACTATAAATTTGAATCCGGAATCAAAAGGGCAACAAAAATTTTCAAAAATTCCAAAAGGGCAACTCAATTAATTATGAAACCAAAAGGACAACAATTTGTAACAGCGTCTAAATCAGGGTTTCAAAAATGAGGCGCAAAACTCCATGTGCCTTACAAGGCTCAATAACTTTTAGCCTTGTAAGGCTCAGCCGCCATGAGCCTTACAAGTCTCAAGGCCGTTAGCGCCTTGCAGATGATTTTTTTTTTTTTTTAAATTCGTTTTATTTTCTTGAGCTATTATTAATTTATTTGTCCCTAGTTATTTTCATTCCCTTGCAAGCAAATATTTAATGTAAGTTGTGGTCTACTTTTTAGAATTTTGTACACTAATTATATGATAAGTTAGAAACTTCTTGCTAGATACATGAGAACAAACGAGAGAATTAACAAGAAAAAGAAAAATAAAAAAATAGTTAAAAAATACTATTATTTATCAACCATTATATTTATGCATACTTATTACAAGTGTATTTTTAATTAATATATATAAACCAACGAAATATTAGATTCTTTTATTTTATCTCTAAGTAATGGGACCTCTCTTCCTCTTCACCTTCCCTTCTTTTCCTCTTCTCCTTTAATTTATTTTTCTCTCCCTTTTGAAAAAGAAAAAAGAAAAACACAACACCCACTTCAAATATCAAACAAATTTCTCATTTGATTATTTCTAAGTAATTTACTCAACTTTGTATTTTTGTTTTTTTTAGATATATATATATATGGATGATGAAATGTATGGTTTTCATTCAACAAGAGACGATTACGCGGATAAAGCTTTGATGTCACCGGAGAATTTGATGATGCAAACTGAGTACAACAATTTCCACAACTATACCAACTCGTCCATCTTGACTTCTAATCCGATGATGTTTGGATCCGATGATATTCAATTATCATCGGAACAAACTAATTCTTTCAGTACTATGACTCTTCAAAATAATGATAATATTTATCAAATTAGAAGTGGAAATTGTGGCGGAGGCAGTGGCAGTGGTGGTAGCAGTAAGGATTATCATGATAATAATGATAATAACAATAATAATGAAGATGGTTCAAATGTTATCAAGGCTAAAATCGTCTCACATCCTTATTATCCTAAATTACTCAACGCTTATATTGATTGCCAAAAGGTTAAGTATGATTTAATCTTTTATGATCTAACTATTTTTTTTTGGATTTTTCTTATAAGTTTAACCTAAGTATCTTTTTTTTTTTTATTATCATTTCTTAGATAAGCAAGAGGGTTTATGGTTTTTGAAATCTTTAGCTTATGTTAATTTTGAGTTGTTTTTTTTTATATATAATTTATACGATTAGTGTATATAACTTAAATTGTTACGGAATTTTGATTTTTATAGGTTGGAGCACCAGCGAGTATAGTAAATCTGCTGGAAGAAATAAGGCAACAAACTGATTTTCGTAAACCAAACGCTACTTCTATATGTATAGGAGCTGATCCTGAACTTGATGAGTTTATGGTTGGTTACTCTTTTTATTTCTGTTTGTAGAATTTATTGTTTGACTTTTCTTGTTTCTTCATTAAATTAAATTAAATGATATACTGTGAATAGTTTGTTTGAAATTTTGACCATATGTTTGTTTATTTTTGTTCAATCAAATAGGAAACGTATTGTGATATATTGTTGAAGTATAAGTCCGATCTGTCTAGGCCTTTTGATGAAGCAACAACGTTCCTCCACAAGATTGAAATGCAACTAGGTAATCTTTGCAAAGGTCAGTCAAACATTATCTCGATGTTGTTTGTTTCGATATCTTTTACCTATTAGTAAAACGAATCATGAATTAGAAAGAAATTTATGCTATTAAACATGATTTCTTTATTTATTTCCTATCAAATCATCTGACTTAGAAATATGCACGGTGGAAAATAGATTCGCAGTGACATATTTTAAGTTTTCTGTATGAAAACATTGTAGTACTATTTATTCTTTTTTTACTAGTACAATCAAAATATATGTGAGAATAACCTCTGAATATTACTCAATGGAAAATTTCATAGGAAAATAGTGATTTTTTAGTAGTGGAACGTATAATATGTAGTAACATAATATGAAGATGGACACCAAAGAGAACTTGATCGTTGTAGTGAAATATTGTTGTAGAGAGATCTGATGAGATGGAATTGGTCATGTTATGAAATACAATTTCTCTGGAGTTGGTACAAGTAATTTTGAGTTTAACTATTTTGCACACATAGAGATGTTGAATCACCTCTTCTACTTCAATTCTTGTATTCTCATATGTTGTGATAAAATGAGAGTCGATAAGAATTGAACACACATCTATTATACGAAATACCCTCACTAATATATCATCATTGGACACTATAAGAGGAGGTAAAATCATTTTAAGGATGGTGCAAATAATAATAGAGCATAGAGCTCCAAAAATATGACTAAAAGTTGTCAGAAATGAAAATAATGAGCAAGAGTTTCTTGCCTTTGTGTATTCATGCCGTGACTGATTATATGATTTTGGAAAATTTTGCTTATTTTGTTGGAAAATAATTCATTGATAGTAGCAAAAAAACTATGTATTTTTTTGCCCTCCTTGAGGGTTAGATGTTTTTTTGAGTGCAACTGGGACCTTTGATATCCTAGTTTTACTCATATTGTTTTTGTGGTGCTTCACTTGTCTCTCTTGCCTTTTGTTTAGTTGTCAGGAAAATTTCTTTTTTTTGCATTTCAAACCACTTTAGCTCAGAGATTCTGATTTTGACATATCACAATTGAGGTGACATGGCTATAGTAGCTCTTTCAATAAACAGTAACATATGTCCTCTATACTCTATATCTACCCTATTCTAGATCACTGCTCATGTTTTATATATAGGGAAGGTGAACATTATATACTCTTTTCGTTTTAAAAAAAAAGACCTAGTTTGACTTCACATAGAGTTTTAATCTTGTGGCTCTTAACATGTGACGTGGTATGTTGTATTTAAAATGATGCCAAAAGAAAAGAAAGATGTTGTTCTTTTTGAAACAGACTAAAAAGAAGAGTAGCTAGGTCATTTTTTTGAAAACGGATGAAGTATATTTTATGTGCATTTATGTGACTATATATGGTACTAGTATGATTGGAGCAAATTTGACCTTATACAGTTAATAATTGTTTAGTTTCCTATAAAGATTTTGCAAATTATGGAACTTATTTATGGAAATGGCCGTTCTTCTGTTTGATCAATGTTGGTTGAAAATCATGCAAGTCATCCCATCCTTTACTATACATTTACATTTATCACTTAGTTATTGTTAAGTGGTATGTATTTTCCTTTTTAATTCATAAGGTTAACTCGATTATTTTGACGTAAACACTAGGTGCTGATAAGTATTTACTCGATCAATTGTTTGGTCAAATACTTAAAGGTCTAAATCCAAGATATAATCAATTAGCAAACTAGTTCATATCAAATTGTATGAAAATAGGGTTTATAATTCTTGTACTTGGACTACAGTTGTAGCTGGAGCTGGCTCACGCGTATGATTAGACATAGATGATTGATGGTAGTACAAATTTTGAGTTTTCAACTTGGATATATATTTTCAATAAACAAGATATATACTACCTTCATTTTGGTTTAGGTCATTATTGTAGCATTATTTTACATTCATCTTCGAGGTTGATTTCTCATATAGTTACTTGACTATGGATTTTCTACTTCAGAAAGTCATTTTCTTTGTTAAAGATAATTGATATTGGGAAGAAATGTGAGTTCCTGAAATAATAACTATTAGCTGAGTAATCATCTGAAAAAATAGCTCTACTTTTAAGCTCATATAATGTTGTTTGGATCCTTCAATATGTTATTTTGGTGCATAAAGTTCTACATTTTTTGGAAGATCTAATATAGTTTTAATAGCAATTTTTGAAAGATTTGAACAATATAACTCATAAATTAGATTCAAGTACAATAATGTCAACAAAGACCATATGTTTGAGTACAGTCTATAATAGTTGGATGTATATATATTCTCAGATGGTATGTGGCTTGCATGTGGAACCACAATTAATTGGTCTTTCCAACCTCTGCAAAGCCTTCATCATATTTATTTTTCAAGTTCCAATATTATAGTGCTATGTGTTCTTGCCAGACACATTGGGAATTGTTTGATGTCTTATTGGTGTTCACTTAAAGTGATTATATTATCTTCGTTTACCTAATGATTTATCTACCTTGTTTTCATCGTATAATAATAATATCTTCAGTATAATCGAAAAAGTATTGTGTAAGCAATCTTACTCTATATTAAGAGATTTTAAATCCAAGAATCTTAACTAACATATCACGTGGATCAATCTTCTTGTCCTATGGCCTGGCACCTTTTTTTAAAAAAAGTAAGTTATACATGCTAAGTACAATTAGAACTTATTGTTTATTATGTTTACTTTAATTTGATCTAGTCTAATAATTAATTACTTAGATTAATGTGTTAAACTAACTATATAGGATATAAAGTTGTGTTATTTTATGCTTTCTCCACGCATTAGAAGCTGTCATTGTTCAAATATTTTATTAATTTGAGGCAAATGGTATAATTTGATCTGTATAAGGCAGGCAGCAGCCTTACAGTCTAAAAAATTAATGAGGAAATTAAAAAAAGGGGTTGTTAATAATAATGAATGGGTAGATATATTCTTTGTGTTTGACAAGCTATATAAGTAATAATTAATTTTAGTTTCAAAGTACAGATTAACTTTTTAGTGATACAGAGAGAGTAATTTATTAATCTGGCCTCGTGTGCCTTTTGTTTTAATTTCAATAAAAAGTTTATTTTTAGTTTAGTAAGTTCAAGTGATCAACTGTATATGTTCACGTGCTTGGATTGCATTAAACTGATAAACTGCTGGATGCTGTTTTCCATATTGTTTTGTACTTGTGCTTTATTTTATGTTAAAAAGTTTATGCATTAATGCTTGCCTGTTGTATATTATGCTGGAGATGTAAGCTGAATTAATTCATATAATAGTAAATATTAGGGTCATTGGCATTGTAGATAAATTGAACTAGTCAAGTAAGGGTTTGGATAGTCGACCTCAATTTGCTTGCGGTTGTGGAGTAGTAATTATTGTAGTGGTTGTTAGTAGTACTAGATCTACTTTGATAGTTAGTTCTTTACCTTGTTACAATAGCAATAACATATTCATTGAAATCTCACAATGTGAGACATGATGAGAGCACGTAGATTGTATACGAATATTACCACTACCTTTATTAAGTGTGTTTACTAAACTACCCTTACACAATTCATGTGTATTTAGGTTCTTCATTAAGATTCATTTAAGTTGCTATATACATTTTGGAACTTGAAAGATTTTTCTAACTTGGTAGAAGTCCCTGTTTGAATTGACTTTTGATTTATTTTTATCATTTTTGCTTAAAATCATGTGTTTATAAACATATTTTTCCATTTACTCAAAACACTTTCAACTTACTTAGACTTAAAAACACTTAAAATAAATCAAATCATACAAATTCCAAGTCAAAGTAGAAACTGGTTATGAGTTGCACCTTTGAAAAAATCCATTTTCATTATGATGTATTCCCATCATTTAAGTTGACCTAGGTCCACCTCTGATTGGGCTGCAGAGCCGATCTGAATTTAGTCGAAATTTCAATGTGGGCTTTGGATATCGGGTGGGAAACCAAAAAAAACAAAAGTTGACCTAGGTTGTTTTCTCCCTTTCACAAAATAGAAAGTAAGACGGTGTATGCATCATCCTCTCTAGATATAGTTTTACACTGAATATGTTGGTTTCAATTTGAATATAGTTGAAGAATATTTCTCCGTTTATAAGTCCTCCCTCTGTTTTAAAAAGAATGACCTCCTTTTCTTTTTAGTTTGTTTAAAAAAGAGTGATCTCTTTCCTTTTTTGGTAACATTTACTTTCACCTTTCCACGTGACATGTTTAACACCACAAGATTAAATGATAATTTTGTACATTTGACATAATTTAAATTTGACAAGATTCAAAACTCTTTTTTATTTTCTTAAATTCTGTGTTTAGTCAAACTAGGTCACTCTTTTTGAAACGGAGGGAGTAATATATATGTAAACGACGATAATGTGTACTTTTGTTTGAATATAATAATTATTTGAGTAGTAAAGAAGGTAGAATTATTAAAGAAAGAAATGAATGAATGAATGAAGGGACATTTATTTTATTTTATTATATAGTATATTATATATATATAATGGGGCATTGAAGAAAAAGGGTAGGACCCAAAAACATTAATGGGAGAGAAAGCCCGTGTAGAGCGGGTGGTCGATATAGCACATGGACTCCCGTGCTTTACGCTGCCAATTCTAACTCTTTTCTTTTGTTTCTTCCTTTTTTATTCAACAACTACTACTATCAATTATCAATTATCAATTATCAAACACTTGCACACGCACACAATTTTTTTTTTCCCTTTCAATTTATGAGATGTTATTCGATTGAACACAATTTTTCTGCACAAAATAGGGAAAGAGAATTAACTAGAATAAATCGATTTTTTTTCATTAATAGCCGTTACATGTGAATACATCAAATAGGAAGTTTACACATATGTAAGTTAGATAATAAAAAAAAATTAAATCCATACTTATTGTTATTAATATCAATACTCAAATAATGTTACATAAAATTAAACAGATGAAGTATTATTTTGATACTCTAGGACCAGAGTACCACACACAACTATAACAAGGGTTGTGGTGGAATGATAAGTACTCCTTCATTTTTGTTAGAGAATAGTAATGTGAGACTTCCCAATCTGTAATTAACCAGGCTCTACGTGGATATTAGACACCAGATGAGAAATTTTAAAAATAATATTTTTTTTCTTTTATTTTTAATTTGTTTTCCTTACTGAAAACCCACTGAGAGTGAAAGTGTTTGCAGGGGTGCTGCATATAATGGTAGTCAAATCTTGGTAGGCCACTCTGTGGGTTCAGTCCAGTCATGGCTCTTTGTGCTCCCCAATGTCTCTTTCCCAATATACCTATCAATTCTATTAATTATTTTTTTATTTTAATTTATTCGCCTTATTTTAGTTTGACCTAAATTTTAGAAATTTTAAAAAAATTCGTAGTATGATGAGTTATTAAAAATAAAAATAGATGTATGTTTCATGAACGGACTAAAAAGAAAAATAGATTGAACAATTAAAATAAAAAAATATCTTTCTTTTTTCAGTATAGAAGTTTTTTAATGATAACAATGAACAAATAAGTAGTTGTCTTTTATCAATAGGTCAAATACGTAAATTGTTCATCATTTTATATACTAGTCCTTTATGTAAGTAATAAATTAAAATTATTTATTTAATAACATGTGCTTTTAAAATAAATTACTTAATAAGATCATTTAATATTTTTATGATATTTTATATATTTATTTCTTTATACACTATTTTGTCTATTTGAGTCGAGTACTATCACATAATATGAAATAGTGTATACATATCTTAAAAATATATACTCTTGTTTGCTTTATTAAATTGGCTTAAATTTTTCTAGAGCTTTTGCTATGAGAAATCCTTGCAGCTTTCCCTACATTTTTAATACAACAGATCCACTTTTATTACCAAAGTTATTATCTTCAAAAATATTAACTTGATCTATAGCTTAAATTTTTATTTATATTTAATTCTAACAAAGTTGTATGTCATAGTGGTCATTTGATATAGGCGGTAAGTCAGTTTTCTAAATTAACAATCTTTCAAATTATGTAGCCCAACAATATTGCGACAGAAATTTGTGATCGAACTCATCACTTTATATAACAAGCTTTTTTTGGTATAATTTTCTGATACATAAGATTAACTATCCCAATGAATTTTTATTGGTGAAGTAGGGCTTTAAAAGGGGTCGTTTGGTAGCTGGTTAGGAGAAATATTGTATATGTATTAGATCTTGTTTAATCAATATCATGTTTGGCAGTTGGTTCAGACTATGTAGAAAATTAATACAATGTCTGGTTTGCAATTTATAAACATGGATAACTAATACATGTATAAGTTAGGAGGGATTTTATGTATAATTTTATACTTGATATAAAATGGAATAACTACTGCTTGAATAACTATATACTGCTGAACTACTTCCTACATAATAGTAAATAAGATATAAATTTCCTTATAACTAATTCGTGTATTGCTAATACATGCCTAACTCTAACGATTCTTGCTATGTAGTCTATGGTTAGATCAGGGTGATCAAAATTGTTCCTAATTCTTGATGTGTTACTTTCCTTTTACAATTTTGTGCTGTAATCTTCAACATCCAGGTCGATGGATTTTTTATATCAAGCTTTACAACTTTAAGATAGCATTAATCTTTAAAAAATTGACTCAGTAAATAAAGCCACTATTGTATTAATCAGGGGCGATTGTATAGCCTATTTTGCGTTGTACGTGAACCATGATCTTTCTATTAAATTAGATATTATATGTATATACTTTTTAGAATTGATCTTATATTATATGATGGTATCCATATTTCTAAAAGGCTAAATGATGCAATTAATTGTATGTTGAGTTATTTAGCTACCAGGATCAATTCTCACTTAGAACTTTTTCTCATCTTTTAAGTGATGCACCCATTGACATAGTTCTTGCCATTGACAAGATGAATAATGAGCTTACACATGTACAAGCTCTTTGGAAATAACTTCTTGAACGTGTTCCTTGCATGCTGAAGTTTACTAGGGGTGGTACCAACCTGTGTTACTTGGACTCTTCAATAATGTCAAGGGATGCGTGTCGGATTCGCCAAAAGTAGTGTATTTTTGGAGAATCCGACACGGGTACGGCATCGAAAGTGAAGAGTCCGCACAACTTAGGTACCAACTAGGACTAGAAAGCAGTTACTCCTGTCACTTATAGAGCTTATCTAAGTTGCTGGGACTTTTCAAAAATATTATCACACTCATGTCGGATACTTTAGAAATACACTATTTTTGAAGAATTTGACACGCACTCGTTGATATTTTTTAACAATTCGAGAAACATAGGAACTTATAACAAACTCTCTCCTTATATATCTTGATCTAAAGTGGAGTAAATTAATTGTGGCAGATGATGGTGGTGTATCATCAGATGAGGAGTTAAGTTGTGGTGAGGCAGATGCATCAATGAGAAGTGAAGATAATGAACTCAAAGATAGACTCCTACGTAAGTTTGGGAGTCATTTAAGTAGTCTAAAGTTGGAATTTTCAAAGAAAAAGAAGAAAGGGAAGCTACCAAAAGAGGCAAGGCAAATGTTACTTGCATGGTGGGATGATCACTTTAGATGGCCTTACCCTACGGTTTGTACTTCTTTACCTCTCTATTTTGCATTTTCATACAACTCAAATAATGCTTATTCTTCTTGTTTCATTTAAAATCTTGGTTTAAAATTTTGTATTTATACTCTCTCTGTCTCAACTTATGTGACACATTTTGTTTCTCCAGAGTCAAACAATTTAACTTTGATCCAAAATTTGCACATGAAATTTATATATTTGTAAACTACGTAAAAAGTACTGTAAGTCACAATAATTGACGATCCAAAATATATAAAAGATATATGAAATTTTACAGTAAAAAATAGTTCAATTTGAATCTCGAAATCCGAAATGTGTAACATAAATTGAGATGGAGGGAGTACTACTTTTTAGGTTCTTTCACAGAGAGGTGGTTTAAAGATTTTAAATTTATGGATTTTAGATTATAATTTTTATGTTTACTAGGTTCTGCATTGATTATTTGAGAATAAACCTAAAATAATTCCTTATTTTTGGGTTGAGACTTAAAGTCATCGTTGTTTTTCCCCAAGATGTACTAATAGTTTCTCATGTTTATAATATTGGTGCACTTTTGGTCTTTTCCAAAACTTCTATCCATTCATAACATTGGTTTTATCCACAATTTAGTGTATGGACATGGTACATATAAATTGTTTACCAATTTCATAGCGAGTATTGTTGCTCGTTTGATCGTGAATGAGATACAATAGTGATACACTTATTCAAGTTAATGACATGTATACCTGAATTTTGTAATTCTCTCTTTCTTTTTGCCCTCCTTATGAAACTCTTGGGGGAGTTGGTCGTTGGATAGGGTTATGCAACTATTAGTTCATTAATCAGTTATTTCATGTTTGATCCTGCATAAAATATAACGTGAATTGACACATAACTTATACATATTTTAGTTACGTGAGATGATAACGAATGTTTTTATGATAATAGGAGGCTGATAAGAATTCACTAGCAGAATCAACAGGACTTGATCCAAAGCAGATCAACAATTGGTTTATAAATCAAAGGAAGAGACATTGGAAACCATCAGAGAATATGCAGTTAGCTGTTATGGATAATCTAAGCTCTCAGTTCTTCTCATCAGATGATTGAGTTTGAATTGAAATTGTGAAAATACTGCTCTTCATTTCTCTTTTTATTATTATATATAATATATAAATCGTATATTTTTGGGAAAGAAAGAAATTTTATTAATCAAAATCTCTATAAATAATGGTAGAGATTAATTAATGTTGAATTCTTCTTGACCAAGTAAATATTCAATCTAGCTAATTGTCAAAATTAATGCTTACCTAATATCACAAAAATGTCTACTCCTTTGATGATATGGTGGTTAGAGTTCTTTTCGATTTTCTATGCTTGGAATATTATCGATGTTTTGTGGTTATGAGTGCTTTTGATACATTGTAATTATTTTTTCTATTTCAATTTATATAGGTTAATTTGACCAATTACGAAGTTAACAAAAGTATGAATTTTTTTTGTGATGTTTTAATACTATTTTTTGAAATAAATAACTTTTTAAAAGTATGAACAATCACAAAGTTATTGTGTTAAAGATGTTAATTTATAATACATTAATTTACTCTTTTTTATTTATAAAATAAAATTTTAATTACAAAACATAAAAATATAAAAAATACGAGTATTTGTTTGCTAATTTTTTGAATTTGCTATTTTTTTGGAATTGATAACTTCTTGTTTTACATTTTTGTATTTTCAATTACAATTATGGCGGGATGCGTTTTTTGTTTCCTCTCTTTTAATTTTTGTATTCAATGAATTTACACCATTTAATTTTTTACTCTCTTTTTTCCATAGTTAGTTTTTACCTAAAACTTTTATTTTTACTTCGTAAGAATTTTGGTTTCCTTTTCATTTTTGTTTTCTTTGTTTTCAAAATCACTTCTAATTTGAGACAAAATAATTTCTTTGCTTTGATTTATACAATTATGAGCAGAAAAATTCTATGAATTCAACTCTTAGAAAGTGCTCTATGTTAAGACAAACTAATAACAATATTAACTAATAGTCTCATGTATGTTTAAAATTGAATTTTGTGTTGAATGCATTCACTTCATCTCATATAAGTTAATATGAAAGAGAGAATCATGTCACCAATAGTGAAACCCCTATCTATGTTACCCCTAAATTCTAATTTCATAAAAAGAGAAAAGGTTAAAAAAAACACATGTTAGCGAACTGACAAAAGGACCAGTAAGGAGAAAGAGGTTATAATTGTTGATTCTAAGAAGCATCTGTATGATAGTCCCTCCGTCCACTATTGTTTGTTAGGGTAAGATCATGCACAATCCTTAAGAAAAATTTAATATAAGGTGCAATTTGACTAATAATATCCTACTATCAATCATTATTAAAATGGTTTGTACTTTTTGAAAACTGTAAAAACAATTTTTTTCACATTAAAGTAGTCTTGTAACTTTAAAATTACTACTTTTTGAAACTAGTAGTTATGTAATTATTAAGGGCAGAATTGGAACAAATGACTAATTGTTTCTTGATTGTTTAAATTGACAATTAATTTTGGACATTTATTTTTAGTATACCTGAAAAGCAATAGTGGACGGAGGGAGTAGTAATTTTGAAGATGAGATTTCAATTTTCAAAAAAAATAAAAATAAAAAATTGGTTGAACAAAGTGCCTAAAGGGGAAAATCTTGTTTTCGTTGATTGTGGAGTGTTTTCTCTCTCGATGCACATTGGCTAACCTGCGCTAACCATGGCGAAGAGAGAACGCACGCTGTCTCTGAAGGAAATGGAGGCTCAGGCGCAGGGGCGGCTCAAGCATATTAGTGGCTTAAAGCAAAAATCAAACGGGGCCTTAAACTTAAATTGTTAATAACTTTTATATAATTGATTTGTTCTAGTTTTCAATTGATAATATAGCCATTCTTATTTTAAATTATTTTTCATGAGATGTAGTACTCCAAATATGTCAAATTTCTTCTAATAATTCCTTAATTTTTCATGAAAATTTACTTTTTCTACAAATAGTATTCAATATTTGTTAAAATAATAATAACTTGTAAAATATTATTATTAAAAATGAGGCCCCTTAAATTCCGGGCCTAAGACACGTGTCTTTTTTTTAACACTGTGCCCCTGCTCAGGTGAGTCAACCAAACCGTGGGAACAAGAGGAAGAACGCTAAGGTAATAGAAGCGGAGGCAGATGAAACCACAACGAGCAATAACCAAACAAAACAGATCCTGCATTGCAAGCTTAGGCTCAATGGACTGAAATTGTCCAGGCTTCAGCGAATTTCGGAAAGAAATCCAGTAGCAGCGGAAGTAGATCTTGGGCAGATGAAGTGGGCGACGAGAGTGTGAAACCAGTCCCGCGAAGTTCAATTTGGGATAATTTTGAAATAATCAAAATCTTAAACGTTGGGTTCAAATTGGAGTACGTAGAACCTGTTATGCATGGTGAATCCCTTGTAATTGAGATTGAATTAGAGGATATTAGTTCAGAAATTGCCTATTGGAAGAATGCTGTAGTGTGTTATGTGTTAGGAGTCCATCCCCCATTTGAAGTGCTGAAAGGATTCATACACAAGCTTTGGTCCAAGCTAGGAATTAACAAAGTGGCGATGCTCAAGAATGGTATTGTTATAGTTCGATTTGACACTGAAGTAGGGAATCAAGAGGTGTTGCAAGGTGCATATACCTCTTTGTAAACCCTTTATAGTAAAGCCATGAAATCCTGATATGGAGTTTACGAGGGAAAAACTATGCACAGTACCTGTTGGAATGTATGCGTCCACCAGACTAGATGGGACTATGTCCTCAGCACAGTTACAATAACAGGAGGTGAAATGAATGCTGAAAGTAAAGATTGCACACACAACTTTACGTGGAAACCTCCTTGCTCAAGGGAGTAAAATCACGACCTGTCTCACAGGAGTTTTCAAACTATTTTTACTAGTCTTCTCAAGCAAAAGTAAAAATCAGTTTACAAAATGAGATTAACCTACTAATCTCCACACTAAGCAATATCTCCTATTACTTAGACGAGCCTAAGCAGATACAACATTGCCCACGATACTAATCCTAATAGATTAATATAGACTTTGAAGTAAGACAATAAGTTACTCACAACTTAAGTTCTTATAATGATTCACACAAGTTTGAAACGTTTCTAACACAAACGAAACGATTCCTACAATATAAGCACGATTATAAGCAATTAAAGTAACAGCTGGTACATGAAGCAATCGATCAGGTCCCTGCTGCTTTGAAGCTTGCAAAATCTCTCTTTGAATGAATAGACAAGAGGAATTATTATCCAATGTACAAACAACCTCGTCGTTTCTGATTGGTGGAGTACTCTGCAACTCCACCAACTTCCTGACGCAAACAACTTTTACAACTGTACAACATATTGACACTGGACGAGTATACTCTGAAGAGGACCATGTCCCTGCACTTGTGAGGAGATCATCAAAACATCTAGGAGCGTTAGCACTTATCAGTACCTATTTAGATTAAGCTTTCTAGTCTTGATTTTAAGTACTGGAGTCCGAAAGGACTTAGTAAGATTGGTAGTTTGGTTGAAAAACCTCTAATGGTAGACCATAATACTGAAAGAAAAGTAAGACTGAACTTTGCGAGGCTGCTAGTTGAAGTTGAAATGGACACAATGTTGCTAGAGGTGATCCCGTCCAGGTCGAAGAAGGGTAATTTGATAGAGTAGAAGGTGTTGTATGATTGGAAGTCAACGTTGTGTAAGGTTCGTGATAAAATGGTCATTTAGAACTGAATTACGAAGAAAAATACAACTCCGAGCACAAATAGGAAGGAATTGGAAGTAAACGCGACTCGAATTAGCCAAGACATCCAACCTTCAATTGACATTGGAGGAATAGTTGTTCAGGAGAAAACATCACCTCCAACAATTACATTGGATCCTCATAAGGCGGGCGGATCAAATGAGTCTCAGAAGCAAGGTGCAACTAATGTTTGGGACACACCTCTGAAAGCACTCAAGTTTCAAACTAAGCAACCACTTTATGTAGAGAGTAAAAAACACTTTTCAGGTACTGAACAAATGGGGTAAGAGTAAGAAGGCTATCAGTAACAGTAAAGAAATAGTGGGAGGCCATCCTAATTGGGAATGGATAGTTGTCTTTATTGGAATGTGAGAGGTCTCAATGGCTCTAATAAGCAAAAGAAGGTGAAACTCCTTTGTAATAATGAAAAAAATTGGGCTATCAGGGTTACTAAAAACAATAATAAAAGTACGGAAGATCGATTTGATAGCTCAGAAGATGTTTGATGGCTGGTCGTTCATTACCAATCTTGCTTCTCATTACAATGGTAAGGTTTAGATAACTTGGAGGCCGGATTACTACACAGTTACACTATTAGAGTCAACATATCAGTTGATTACTTGTAAAATGAGAAGTGTTCCTTTGCAATTGACATTTATCATGACAATGATTTATGCCTATAATACAAAGGAATGTAGGAAAGAGTTATTCTCTTATGGCTTACAACGTCGTTTGTCAATTACATTGGATGATCCTAGGCGATTTCAACTCAGTACTAACAACTGAAGACAGGATTGGGGGTAACCCTGTGGTGTGGTCAGAAATAGAAGATTTTCAGAATTGTATTGCAACATGTGGTTTCATAGAATTGCCTTACCAGGGTCAAAGATACACTTGGAATGATAAAAGTGATAATTAGGATTTTTTCTAAAATTGACATGGTCTTTATTAATAATGTATGGCTAAGCACATTACCTTCCAGTGTAGTAAAGTACCTTTCTGAAGGAATAAGTGATCATTGCCTAATTAAAGGGACACTAACTAATGCAGATCCAGAGAACATGAAGTCGTTTTAATTTTGTAATGTATGGACGACTCACCCAAGATTTAAGGAGAAATTGAGAGAAGCATGAGACACTTAAGTTGAAGGCTAGCTGCAAGATTCTACAAGTAGTTAGAAAGTTAAAGATCATGAAATATGGTTTAAAGGAACTAAATAATCGGGACTTCAAGAGCGTTGTTTCTAACTGTCAAGAGGATAGGGTGTAACACCCCAGAAATTTTTTAAGCTGAGACTCAAACCATTCATCGCAGTGAGTAATTTTTACCAAGGAATTTAAATTTTTCTAAGTGATAAGGTCACTAGATGTAGCACCTTGAGTTCCAAGAAGAACTAAAGAGAGTTCATTCAAGTCATTCCTAAGTTCTTCTAAGATTTGGGTCAACTTCTAACGACTATATCTCTTAGAATATAAAGATTTAAGTGTACCATGAGATGGTAAATGAA